AATTTTTATATATAAGATGTGATTTTTGGTTGAAGTTCATTTGTTTGCCTATGCCTTCAATTGTTTCAGCACCGTTTATTGAAAAGGCGATCTTTCTTCCATTTAATTACATTGGAACCGTTGTCAAAAATCATATTTGTGTGGGTATATTTCCAAGTTTTCTATTCTTTCCATTGGTCTATGTGTCAGTCCTTCCACCAACGCCATACATTCTTGACTATTGTATCTGAATAGTTAGGCTTAACATTGAGTAGCATGATTCTTCTCACTTTACTTTTCTTGTGCAAAATTGTTTTAGCTATTCTAGGTCCTGTGCCTTCCCATATAAATTTTAAAATAAGATTATTTATGTCTACAAAAAAATCTTGCTGGTATTTTGACAATAATTACATTAAATCTATAGACTGTTTTGGAAAGAATTGACACCATTGTGATAGCGAGTTTTCCAATCCATGAACACAGTATGTCTCTCCATTTATTTGTCTTTGTGCTTCACTAGCATATTTAGGTCTTCATTTATTGCATTTATCAGCATTTTGCAATTTTTCAGTTCAGGTCTAGTACATATTTTGTGAGATTTATATACATGTTTTATTTTCTTCAAGCAGTTGTAAATGGTCTTGTGTTTTTAAATTCGATTTCCATATGCTCATTATTTGTGTATAGAAATGTAATTGATTTTTCTGTGTTTATCTTGTATCATATAACCTTGCTGAATTCAACACATTTTTACAAAGTGATACACTTATGTAATCACACCCAGATCAAGATAATCATTAGCTCCCCAAGTACATTCCTTGAACCTCTCTTCTTTCTTAAACTCACTCCTCATCCCAATAACCACTCTTTTGACATCTACTACCGTTAATTATTTTCGATTGTTCTTAAACTTCATATCAGTAGAATCATACAGTGTGTACTGCTTTGAATCCAGCTTCTTTCATTTAATTTTGTGAGATTCACGTTGCATATACTGTAGTTTCATTCTTTTTGGTTGCTGTACATTTTTCCATAGTATAAGTATACCATAATTTATCCCTTCTATTGAACAACTTTTGCATTATTTCCAGCTTGGGGCTATTATGAATATAGCTGCTAGGAACATTCTTGCTTATGTCTTTTAGCACTAATGTTTATTCATTCTTTGGGTTAGAAGGCTTATCATTTTAAATTTTACAGTAGTAACAGATAACTATAAGGGATCAAAAACAGGAGAATATAATTTTCACTATTAGGGTTACAATCGGTGAATTTCTATAGCATGTGCTGCTTTTGTCAATTGATGAGCACTGAACATTAAGCAAGTATTTTTGTTAGCCTGGGTCAACCACTGTATAGATCATAAACTTTCTTAAATTGTTGGTTAACTTTTCAAGACTCCATGTAGCATTTTTTGAAAAATTGTTTTAGTTTTTTAATAGCCAAGACCACATCTCATGCTCCTTTGCCTCTCTGCCGTGATTAGCACTGTACCTTGAACAGAGTGCCTGCTCAATAAATATTTGTTCCTTGAGTGATGGAGGGTGCATTCTGAATTAATGAGGTATTACTGCAGTTCCAGCTGATTGCTGCACAGATGACTGAGTTGACTTTGGCCTCATTATTGCAGCTGTATAGGTATGGCCTGTGTTGATTTATGTGACACTCCTTAATGTTCTGAAGAATCCTGAATACATGAGGCTCATTTATGTCATGTCACAGGATTGTACCATGATTAAATAGAAATCATGTAAGCCATTGTTAAGTTTAATCATTTTATCAATATTTATTTTGGAAATTAGATAATCACACATGAGACAGAGAACGAGTTTGTCTACAGAGGAAATAATTGGCCAGGCGAGTCAAAAATTCATATTCAAAGAATTCAAGCTGCATCTCCACCTCTAAGTGGCAGCTTTGACATTCAAGCTTATGGACATATTCTCAAAGGTATATGAAAAAAGTTTAAAATATTGGTGTATACACTCACATATATGTATAATGTTATAAAGTGTTAAATGTTGTTTCACTTGAGAATTACTACTTATTGATACATGCAAATACATTAATTATTTATTTGAGACATAAGTAAATATGTGATATATTAAAGTCACACATGCATATATATTAATATATGCCATATAAGGGTCAATTAATAGCCAATCACAATGTTGTTTCAAATCCTTCTTTTTAATAGATTAGGAAATATTCACCCATCCAAAACTAACATCATTTATTTTTGTTGTTTTCATTTACAAATAATATTTTTAAAAGTCTGCAAAAATTTATAACAATTTTTATAGCCATTTTTTAAAGGCAGTTGAAATTATCACTTTCATAAGTCAAAACTTTCTATAATACATGCATTTAAAAAAATAAGCATTCATTACTTACTGTGATAGCCACAAACAATAACAATAATATTAAAATATAAAAATTGAGAATTAGAATATGATTTTAAAAGACATCTATAATTTAATTATCTAAGTCTGTACTAATCAGTATGATAGCCATGAGTCATATGTGGCTACTGAGCACTTAAAATGTGACTAGTGTCACATGTCAAAATATAACATTTGAATATAAGAGATTATATGCAATTTATTACTATTAAAATATTTTACCTGGTTTTGTTTTCTTTCTAAAATATAGCTACCAGAAAATATACAATTATATATGTGGTTCACATTATTTATCAGCTGGACAGGGCTAACCTAGACAACTATAATAAACATTTTGACATACTCCTCTTTAGTAGTATTTCTCTTATAATTTACATAATTGAGAGTATGTCAGTAATATGAAGCTAAACTATTCAGGGCAAATGACATTTTTATGTTTTCGTCACTGCTTTATCCATTATACCAGTGACATTCTCAAATGTTTATTTCTCTTTTATATTCATGACTTACAAGTTATTCGTATTTTCAAAGACATACAAATTAATATTGTTATTAATTTAATCAAAATAGATTTTTATATTAAAAGATCATTTTAACACTCAGCATCCTCTGACATTAAAATTATTTTATTTTTAATATCAAAATGAATTGATATGAAAACATCAACTGATATTTGATATTTGTGAATTGATATTAAAAACATTCAATCCAAGGCCAGAGTTTGAGGTACATTACTCATGTAATTTTTAAAAATAATTGTCTATTATTATTTTGAAATGGATAAAATTGTATATATTTTATTTCCAGGAAATATATAAATTCTTGGCATAAATAGAATGCAAATTTTATTTTTACTATATTGGAAGGGGACATAGAGTCTACAAGTGATAATACATAGTACACATTTCATGTACTTTAAAGATGAAATTGGGGCTGGGCGCGGTGGCTCAAGCCTGTAATCCCAGCACTTTGGGAGGCCGAGATGGGTGGATCACGAGGTCAGGAGATCGAGACCATCCTGGCTAACACGGTGAAACCCCATCTCTACTAAAAAATACAAAAAAAAAAAACTAGCCAGGCGAGGTGGCGGGCGCCTGTAGTCCCAGCTACTTGGGAGGCTGAGGCAGGAGAATGGCATAAACCCGGGAGGCGGAGCTTACAGTGAGCTGAGATCCTGCCACTGCACCCCAGCCTGGGTGACAGAGCAAGACTTCGTCTCAAAAAAAAAAAAAAAGATGAAATTGGTTTGTGAATTTATTTTATTTTATTACTATTATCTTTTTGAGGTGGAGTCTCACTGTCACCAAGGCTGGAGTGCAGTGGCATGATCCTGGATACTACAACCTCCTCTTCCTGGGTTCAAGGGATTCTCCTGCCTCAGCCTCCCAAGTAGCTGGGATTATAGGCACACACCACCATGCCCAGTTAATTTTTGTATTTTCAGTAAAGACGAGGTTTTACCATGTTGGCCAGGCTGGTCTCAAACTCCTGACCTCAGGTGACCCGCCTGCCTCGACCTCCCAAATTGCTGAGATTACAGGCGTGAGCCACCACATCTGGCCGGTTTGTGAATTGTGACTTCTGCTGTTTGCCACCCCTCTGTGAGTGCAGGCCTTCCCGCTGCTGTGTCAGCTGCAGATCTGCAGTTTGTGCTCCAGAGTCTGGAGGCATTGGGAAGAGTCTCAGTTACACGAGAGGGAACCTGTGCTGGCTACGCATGGAACATCAAGTGGAGAAGCACCTGTGGAAAGCAGAATCTTCTACAGGTTCCCTCATTTAGCCTGGCTTCTTTTTTCTTCTATGTGCTGTTTGCTTATCTGTACCCTGTTTTATTCCAAAAAGAGCTGGAGGCTATGTATATTATAAAAATGCAAACCATAAACTAAAATTTCTTTAAAAGGAAATTAAGGAGAAGGTTTTTTCTAAATTAAGTTGACCCAGTGTTATCTTTCATGGAGAATGGCTGTTGGTACTTTACTCCATATCCCATTTAGAAAAAAGTCCAGGAATGTGTGTGTTAGAATCCCCTTGACAGGGGCAGGTGGAGCACAGTCAGGGCTGGTCTCAGAACTAAACCAAACTGAATCCAGATGTATGCTAAGGGGGTCCCAGAGAGAATCAGCCTCGCTATCATTCTACCATGAGAGCTGTATTTTGGGGCCTTGGATACTTCTGTGGTTATAAAGATGATCTTTCCAAGTTCATAAAGGAGCCTTTGGCTGTCATCTAATTACCTTTGTTTAGTTAGAGGGAGGAAGAGAATAGGGGAAAGGAGTCAGGCCCAGAGTATGTGAAGGAGAGGAGTCTAGGGACTCAGATTGTCAAACACTAAAAAAGTGATGCTTTCAGCTGAGCACAGTGGCTCATGCCTGTAATCCCAGCATTTTGGGAGGCTGAGGCAGGTGGATCACAGGAGTTTGAGATGAGCCTGACCAACATGGTAAAATCCTGTTTCTACTAAAAATACAAAATTAGCTGGACGTGGCAGTACACGCCTGTAATCTCAGCTGCTTGGGAGGCTGAGGCAGGAGAATCGCTTGAACCCGGGAAGCGGAGATTGCAGTGAGCCGAGATTGTGCCACTGCCATTGCACTCCAGCCTGGGCAACAAGAGCAAAACTCAGTCTCAAAAAAAAAAAAAAAAACGTGCTTTCTAGTGATGATGAGAGTGCAAGGAAATAGTTTCTTCTATGCAATGTTGGTAAGAACGAAAATAAGGACAACCTTTTGTGAAGATAACTTAGTAGTATCTTAATACAGAGACCTTCTGATTCATCACTATCACTTATATAACTCTATCCTACTGAAATAATAAGGTAAATGTGAAATGATATAGGCGCAAAGGTAGTCACTGAAGCACTATTTGTAAAAGTAAAAACCTAGAAACCTAAATCCCCATCAATAGGAGAAGGATTGTTTAAATGATGTAACTTTCACATTGAACACTATGCAGCCATGTGTAGACACACATATATTCACCTGGAAAGAAATTCATGACATAAAGTGGAAAAAATGCAGAACTCTACTTACGAAATCATTTGGGGGAAGGAGAGGAAGTGGAGAAGATAAGGCAGTGGGGGCAAAAACAACTGTGTAAGCATAGAAAACAAGTCTGTATGGTTGTGCAAAATAGTAATAGTTATAAGAATGTGAGGATTATTTTAGAAAAATCCATGGCTGGGAACTGAGATTAGAAAATTCCACAATGAAGATAGGTCTAGTGACTGACTGCCCTTGGTGTCTCTGCTGGTGTCTGTGCATCTACTCTCTTCCATCTTTTCTGATCAGTCTCTTCTGCTTATTCATTATTTCTATTCCATATCATTTGGCTCACACATGGCCCAGCATGGAGACTCCTATCTCTTTGCTAGTCCCTGAATACATCAGAAGGTTGCCAAATTTGCAGAGGAATTTTGTAAAGAACAAATTGTATATACTGATTTTACTTGGCTTTATTTTTACCATTGGAAGAACAAATAATTCCAAAACTGGGTGAAAAACCAGGGTAAAGGTAAAAAAAATGATACAAGGAAAAGTTGACTCTCGGATAGAAAGATGACTCAGTTTTTCAATTATTTAACAATAATTTATCAGTTATCATATTCAGAAAAAGCATAGGACATTTTGAGAAAATCAAGTTTAGTAGATTCATTTTCTTTAGATTTATTTTTAATTATAAAAATTCAAGTTAGGAGCTGTAAAACATGAACGTAAGACTGGTTTATTTGGTTGCTGAGGAAGAGATCAATCTTACCAGAGGACCCTCAGGGCTGGGCTTCAACATCGTAGGCAGGACAGATCAGCAGTATGTCTCCAATGACAGTGGCATCTATGTCAGCCGCATCAAAGAAAATGGGGCTGCGACCCTGGATGGGCGGCTCCAGGAGCGTGATAAGATCCTTTCAGTAAATGGCCAAGACCTAAAGAACCTGCTGCACCAGGATGCTGTAGACATCTTTCGTAATGCAGGTTATGCTGTGTCTCTGAGAGTGCAGCATAGGTTACAGGTGCAGAATGGACCTATAGGACATCGAGGTGAAGGGGACCCAAGTGGTATTCCCATATTTATGGTGCTGGTGCCAGTGTTTGCCCTCACCATGGTAGCAGCCTGGGTTTTCATGAGATACCGGCAACAACTTTGAAAAACTTGCTCTCTTTCAGTACTCCCAATGAAGATACATTTCACTCACCCTCCATCCCTGCTATTCTGCTGTGTCTTTCACTCTGTGCATAGCCAGATTTGAAGTGACTGATACCCACCCCAAACCTTGCTGTTCAGAATCTCCAATTCTTCGTATTCTAATGGGAAAGTAAAGGTATTGTTTGAAGGAAAACTGAAGAAAAGACTTGCTTAGAACAAATGAGTTATATATTTTACTAGGACTTTCGATAGAAATTCAGCTACAACCCAAAGAGAGAAAGATTGAGTCTTCATGTCACCATAGGCAATATCATTTTTCTTAGCTGGCATGCCATAAAGACCAGCTGTGTGACATTAGAGGAAGAAAGGATTTTTCTTTTTAATGATCTTCCTTGGGAAATTATTGTGGCCTTTATTTCATTTCTAATTACATACCTGGGTGCCTATATCAGACAAAGGAGAGTGAGAAGAGCATTTTTACTTTTTTAAAAAAGCAAATACATATATACACATACATATGTAAATATTATAGTATAATAGTGATACCTATGGAGAATTAAAGGTGAGAAAGCTAAAAAAAAAATTCAAGTTAATTTTAGTTTTAATTCAAGTTGTAATTGATGCAATATATGATAATGCAATGGTCTTAATTTTTTTTTCTTGTATAGGTTATGTTCATTTTTGAAGAGTCGTCTTTAAAAAAAAGTGACTACAATGATTTTGAATTTTATTTTACATCCTTTGACTTTTATTCACCTTTGCCTATTCTGAAATTAAAAATGAAAAACTAGTGTGGTCATATTTGTTACAACCTTTCTAATAAAATAATTGTGTGTAAAAGTAGATTAATGATTCCAACATTATTGGAGAAAAGGCTAATATGACAGTCACAAGGATAAAGGAAGGTGGCTTATTCAGACGACACATACTTGGAGACCTACTTCGTACACCCAGTCAACAGCCACAGGTATTTTTGAAACTTTTCTCATGACGTGTGATGTAATTTTAACAGTATAACTAGTTTATAATATATTAAAGACCTGGTAAAACAGGGGGATTGACTTCTGTATTTCATGGGAACAGTTGTGCTTACATTGATCAACTTGATAATATTATTTTATGACTTTTGGGAAAATTATCTTCCTTATGATAAAATAGTAGATTTTTTAGCTCTACTATGCCAGAATTTGAAAATAGAGTCTTCCATTCAATCTTTACAGCAGTGCTGTAAAGATGAAGAAATTAAAGTGTAAAGAGATTAGGTGACTTTCCCAAGGGCAAAACTGAATGAAATATCAAAGTAGAAAAAATATAGACTAATTTCAGTAAACAAACAAGCAAATCAACAAAATTCCATCACTTTTGCTAAAAGCCTATTCATATTCTACTGCTGCCTCTTTGCCTCCGTTCTCTGACTTCTTGTTTCTTTATTTGAAGGTTGAAGTCTATGTCAATGGAATTCCAGCTAAATGTTCAGGTGACTGTGGGTTTACATGGGATTCCGACATTACTCCCCTAGTCTTGGCGACAAGCCCTTCTCAAGGTAAGTTCCTGATTTTTAACCTATACTAGGGTGTGAAAGATAACCAGCAAAATGTAAACTCTGATAATGACTTCTAAAACTATGTTTATACTAGTGTCACTGTTATACTGTTAGCTAAAGGAAGCAAACAGTTCTACATTGTGAAAATTAAAAATCCTATTAGACAAAAAAGCTATGGAAAGGGCACTAATTATTTATTTTTGAAAAAAAACTATTTCTTTTGAAGCTGAAATCTTGCCTTTGAAGTAGAGGATTTGCTAATCTTAAACTTCTCTAGTTTCACCAGTTAGACTCAGTCTTTAAAATTTCACTTGGACACTGAGGCACTTTTGTTCAACTGTACTAGCTAGGGTATTAAGTGGAGTCTTTTATTCTGAGACCACTTCCTCTAGGAGAGTTAGTATTAAAAGGCTAGTAACAAGACATGATCGTGTCCTAGATTTGAGAATAAGAGATATAAAAATTATTGCCAGGAACTCAATCTAAGGAACACATTATACCATTTCTTCATAATATGTTATTGCCTCAAAAATGTGATTATGCTTTGTGTCTGAGCAACTAAGGACTGAAATAAAACAGCAGGAATAAGGATAGTAAGGGATGGCTTTTTTTCAATCAGAACAATAAACTCAGATGCTATAGTTACATATTTAATCTTTATGGATAGTAGGAAAACTCACCAACTAATTTTATAGTGGTACCTCCCAAAAATTATTAAAATTTTAAAAATATTGCATTTTTATGTTGAAAGAATATATTTTTCAGACTTTTTAAAATAGTGATGATACTAACTTTGGGATAATTCAGATTACATTGGGTTAAAACTCTCAAGAATAAGGATTTAATGAACTTTAATTTGGTTATAGTCCTTTGGTATACTTATGTTTATATCCACTCTTGCATTTTATAATGAATTTCCAATTTTTTTTTTTTTTTTTTTTTTGAGGCTGAGTCTTGCTCTGTCACCAGGCTGGAGTGCAGTGGTGCGATCTTGCCTCACTGCAACCTCCACCTTCCGGTTTCATGCTATTCTCCTGCTCAGCCTCCCTACTAGCTGGGACAGCAGGTGCCCACTACCATGCCTGGATAATTTTTGTATTTTTAGTAGAGACAGAGTTTTACCACGTTGGCCAGGATGGTTGATTTCCCACTTTTACGTGCACTTCCTGAAAAATGATTTCTTACCCAATATAGGAATCTGAATTGCCTTTTGCCACATTTGGATCATTTTTAAAATTGTGAAAATATAAGCATAAAGAAAACTACAAAAATACACATACTCTTCACTGAAAATTAACAGCTGTTAAAATTTTGTCATATTTACTTCCGATCAACAATTTAAGAAAGAAATATTACAGGAACAGCTAAATTTCTCTTTAAGCACCATCCCTAGACCTAGTCCCCTACATAATTCTTGAGGGGCAATCACAGTGATTAATTACTGTGTATGTATTCTTCCATGACACTTTAAATACCTTTTGTATATAGCACACACACATATATGGTCATTTTACCAGTTTCATAAGCTTACAAATGAAATATTACAATGTAAATATTATTTTGCATATTTCTTTTGTCATTCAGAATTCATTTTGAGATATATTTATGTGGTTTTATGTACACCTAACCCATCACGTTAAAGTATTTCATGAGTGCACCAACTTACCTAGTTCCTCTATTGATGGACATTTAGATTGTTTACAAGTTTTCACTTTTAACAATAAGACTATACTGAACTTTCTTGTACAAACCTCCTATTGCATATGTGTTAAAGCTACTTTAAGATATATACTGAGACATAGTATTATTGGATAACAACTGGTTGGATGAGTATTCAGTTTACTAGATGACCAAATTGCTCTTCCAAGTGGCTATACTACCAGCAAGTATAATAGCAACATTAACCCCTGTATCTTTGCCGATATTGGAAGTGATCGACTTCCTAATTTTAACTATTCCAATGGGTAAAAGTTATCACTTTTAAAACGTTTATTCTATTCCTTTATTAGTAATGCACATGAGCATCTTCTCATATGTTTCTTGGACATTCAGATTATTTTTTTCTGCAAAGTGTTTAGCATCGTTTTTCCCTTTTTTATTGAATTCTCTTTTAAGATTTACTTGTAACCATTTACTATATTTTATGTTTACCAATCCTTTGCACATGGCATCTCTCAGTATATTGTCTGTGCTTTGGTTTAGTTCTTGTTTATGAAAACATTTAAGTCACTTATTTATTCTAGTTTATTTATTTATTCCATTATGGTCAACCCCATGGCTTCATGTATCATATTTAAGAAATCCATCTCTACCTCAAAGTCATCAAGATATTTGGTTATATTTACTTCTAAAAATTTGAGTTTTATTTTTTGTTCTTAGCTATTTAAATCTATACAGAATCTATATTGTGCATGGTGTTACATAAGTAGGGTGATCATGTGTGTATTACATATATGATTTGTTAAAGATAGATATGTAATATCTATCTATCTAATCTATCTATAATTTGTTGATCAAACCTGGACACTTTTAAGAGGGAATGGAAAAATCTTAAGTTTAAGACGCTGGAACACAGGTGTAAACCAGAACTGTCCCAGGCATTTTGGGATGTATATCACCCTAAACAGAGGACAGAGGAATCTTATTTTCTTTTCAAATGGGAAGTGTCCATACCACTAATTGTGTGATTTATACTTTCCTCATAAATTTGCAATGGCAAGTCTGTCATATACTAAGTTACAATATAGAGATGTCTACTTAATTTCTTTATTATGAGAATAATTTGTTTCTTTATCTTATGCCATATTTTCAGCCAGATAATTCTTTCCACTAGTCTCTGTCAACACACAGATTCAAAATATGAACATACGTAGAATAATTCAATGGAAATAATGGAAATAAAAAACCATTGATAAATAAATGTGGATTTTTCTCCCTGTTTGCCTATTAGGCTTGCTGTTTATATCTTTTGAAGATAGGCTTATTTTTATCTGAGAAATGTCTGATTTCATAATAACAGATATTAATATTGTTATTTAAATTGATCATTTTTAGGGTCCTATGAAGAAGGCACAATTCTAACCATAGTGGGTTCTGGATTTTCTCCTAGTTCAGCTGTATCAGTCTCAGTTGGACCAGTAGGTTGTTCTCTTCTTTCTGTGGATGGTAGGTCCTTATAAAAACTATTAAGTCTAATTGTTCTTATCTAAGATAAAGTGGAATCAAAGAGCAGTATTACAATTATTTGATCATGTACAATTATCATGATCCATTATTACAATTATCATGATCCCTATGGGGTTATGAAATTGGCAACCTGATCTATATAATGCCTTATCTTTTAAATCTTTGATTATGACCACAGACTATTTCACTGTTGTACAGTGTCTTTATCCTATAATAGTTTAATTTTATCCTTTTTTCCCCTTCATTTGGAGGTTACATGAAATCTTTTTTGCATCAGTGTGTCTCTGGGATGCAAAAATGTATGAAATGCTTCTCTAGTGTTCCATGGTCCTGTCTGCCCACGTTTTGACAATGCCATGCAGGAAGAGGACGTGGCCAAGCTGGTCTCGAACTCCTGACTTCATGTGATCCACCTGTTTCAGCCTTCTAAAGTGCTGGCATTACAGTCATGAGCCCCCGCACCTGCCCT